CGTTTCTTTTGTACTCGGTTTGGCCTCCATGGGTTTGCAGTGCTCTGTCACAGGACGACACGTGGCAAGTACGATGCTGTAGTAAAGCTGCTGGATCTGAACCAAGTTCAGTCTGTGAATGTACTTCTTCTTGGAAATGTTGGTGGCGGTTAGACTCCTTTATCTTCCCCAGGCTTGGATGTGAGATGCTAATACAGCTGACGTAGGCATGGGTGGTTCCTCCGGACTGCCTTACTTATCTCTGTAGTCTCCACCTTCATCAGTTTATACTTGAAGGGACATGCAGATTTGGCAGAAATATCAGAACGTGTACTTTATTTATTTTGAGCAGAAGAATTACAGATTTAAATAACTCAAGAAACACTTGCATGCAGTCTCCCCTTTTTCTGTCCTTGTCAGGAGTCTGCTTCAGAGTCCACTTGTGTGCAGGTAAGGTGGACATTTCCTGGGCCGCGTTACATCCATGCCATTTTCACTGCTGTTGCTGGGTGGTTTTTCCCTACCCGGAGACACCGTCATCTTATAAATATAGCCTGGCCTCATAGGAAACTCTGCCTTGCTCAGGTTGTCTTAACAAACCCAGTACAACTGTTGCTGAGGAAGTGGATTAATTAATGGTGTCATTGACAAATCATTACTGTTTGGGCAACATCTCTATCATATTTCACATTACTGCAATCCATTATGTTTCCACAGTGTTGCCCACAGCCCCACCTCTTGTTAAATGTCATAAGCAGGATATTTAAATGGCCTTGACAGAAGATGCTGAACATGGTTAGATAAAAAATGGGAGCCTGACAACCTATTCCAATCTGAGCCCATAATTTAGAAATGTGTCAATATTTGCAATTTGGAGTTGGCTACAAATGATCGTAGGGAAGCACAGCAAACAGGAACTAGAAACTCTGAGCTCATCGGAGAAGCTAATACTTCTAGAATTTTTGTTACTGGATTTCTGTTGGAAGAGAAGGTGATGCTTAAATGGTCCTCAGTGCTCCTAACTTTAGCCTGCGGTGCCTGACTCATGGGGGTGGCCCAGAAACAGCAGTTGCTTAAACCATGATGAAAGTATCAAAGTTTTATTTGGGACTGTGAGAGATCTATCATTGTCATATAAGCCAAGAATTAGCACCGTGCCTTCAATTTTGGACTTGGAAACACCTAAAAGCAAGACCAATACAGTGCAAGAGTCTTGTTTGTGGAATTTCGTACTTATTGCTCAGTCATTACTGGGAGGTTGCACAGAAGAGGTGACTTCATAGTGTCCAAATCCCTCCTGCTTCCTCAGGTATGTAGGGGTTTGGATACCCAGAAGCTCCTTTGTAGCTCCTTTGTCTACAATTTTTGTGAAGGTTGGTGTACAACGATCATTGCAGGAGTGAGGGTTCTGTAAAGAGTATTATCTCTCTCAGGGAAATCTTGAGGAGGACGTTGAGTAAAGAGCCATATAGTATTACACCAGCAGCATTTTTTTTATGCTTCTAACTTATACTTAACAATTTAGTGGGACTATTGCCTGGAAGAATATGAATGAACCTCTCAGACTTCTAGGAGCCCTTGGAGTCAGTCTCATCTTGCTATGGAACAGCTTTTTATTTCTGCACTGTGTGATCTTACGCTGGATTTTCCCTGATAAATTCAGCATATCCATTTAATGCTCTTCATCTGTGCATGAAATAAATATTTTCATTTGGGGTACACTTATGCATATATTTATAGTAACTTTGTTTTCAGTGTGAATAATTAACTGTTCTGTCTGTAAACCTAAAGAAACTTCAACTTTTGTGGGATATATGTGTGTATGTTTATGCAAGATTGTGCGTATGTTTACCCAAGATTGCTAAAGGATCTCCAAGAGGTCTTGGATGAAGATGGTAGTTGTCACATCATCTCCGTCAGCATAATGAAGATGAAGCCTCTTTGTCGCAGACAGAGGTTTTTTCAGGCCGAAGCAGTGTGAGGTTACACAAGAAACAGCCCCAGAAACCAGGGATCTTAAAGAAACCCTACTTCTCTCCATTAAATATGCGTATGCTACCAAAAAAAAGTCCATACTCAGCCTCTGCTGTTCACCCTGTCAGGTTTGAGTGTGAGAGAACAAACAGCATAACAAATACTTAATATGATGTTTAATACCTAGCTAGAAGGTGCTCAGATTACTGTACTGCTGAGAACAGTATCGTCATCTATAGAGGGCAATTCTACAGATTTCTGCAAGTGCAGTATTTACAGTTCTGTGAATTGAGCAGAATAGAGAGGTGATGGAAGTATAGTGAACAGTAAAATTATGAAGCTTGAAGCATCTCATTTTATGTATTACCTGTGCCCTTCAATTGCATTTATGCATATTTTGTTCACTTTCCTATAGAAATATAAACACTTTATTTAAATGTTGATTATTTCAGGCAAAAAAAGACGAAGAGCTTACTGCAGAGGAAAGGAGGAAACTGGAAAGAAAATTAAAAAAAGAGCGCAAGAAGAAAGAAAAACAGCTGATGAGAGAAGCTGGAATCTCTATTAAAAAGGTGGAGCCTAAAAAGCAGTCAGGATCTGAGCTGGCTCTGGCCTATTTAACCAGGTAAGAATACTAAAACCACGGCAGGTGCTCCCTACAGAAGTAACCTGTATATTGTGCCAGAAATCCAGAACAAGGTGAACCAAGTAATAACACAGTAAAGGAAATTGCTGCAGGTGAATACTCAGTTAATGATTCATCTCAGTTGACACCCTTGCATACAGTTGATCACCCCGTTGTATTTATCTCACAGGAGCAACTAAAGGATGTTAAGTATGGTGCAAACATTTTATAGAAAGACAGCTCCTGTCCTGAAGATCTTATTGTTGATATATATTAATATCACTGGGTGAGCTGCACTTACAAACATGAAAGGCACATTGCAAAAAAGATTGCATTGAGGAAATCAATTTTGTTTAAGTGCATTGAATTCAGCAAAGGAGTTCCAGTTTTCTCTTTATACAAGGAAATTGCATGATGTGGTTAAGCATGATGGAGTCTGAATTTAACTGCCTGCATGATATCTGGATGTTTGTAAATTAAGATGGGATTATGCCACTATTTTAAAGCTAATAGTGTACAATGTCTTATTTTTGCATACCAAAGTATGTAGCAAGTATAGTGGCCGATAGTTAGCGCACTTATTTAGGATACTTAAAATTCCAATATAAAGCAAAGTCTATGGCTAAAATAAAGAACTGCAACAGATCATTCATAGTACCCTACAGACATTAAGAGGTCATGTATAAACAGGACGAAAGTGTTTATTTTTTTCCAAACTGCAAAATATACCCTTGTCTGTAAGACCTCCAGAAGACTGGCGTGTGACAAATAGTGGGTTACCACATGGAATAATTCCAGGGCTGCATCTCTGGCCATGCTCAAAATTGAAGCATCCAGACTGTCTGAATTGTTACTTACCACTCTCAGTGGGGAGGGAGGAAATTAATTGCATTCCAGGCAGAGGGACATGTGCATTTTTGTTACATAACCCTCAGCACGCAGCGATAGCAAAATGACAATAATATTTTTGATCTGGAAAACAGCTGGAGTAGTTCACCACTGTTTTGAACTGCAAATGGATTGACAGTTAGCTTTGAACCATCTGCTCAGACTATACTCTGGTATGTGTGCTAGTAAGTGGTGGATCTAGAGATAATGGATTTCAGGTTTGGAAAGCAAAGGAACAAGCGATGGGTTTTTGCTTGATATTCCACTGTTATCTGTATGGATTTTTGCCTTGTTAGGTGAGAATATGAAACTGCATTTGAATGAATATTTGAACCAATTTGACTCTAGAGTTTCACTTAATACGTACCAAATTACCTTGAAATAGTAAACCTGCTACATCATTTGGTTTTGTAGTACACAGAGGCCAAGGGCTATATGTATAGCAAGAGGTTGTAAGGGACTATTTCAGCAACAGACGATTTGAATTTTGTAGACTTAACAGGGATAGTCATAAGATGCTGAGCTGCTGAGCTGCCAAGCAAACATAACCATAGACACCATTCTAGCCCCAGATGTGCCGGGACCATCTTGCACCACTGTAAATTACAGAAAAGCTGCTTAACTCTTTTACACCTCAGACACTTTTTCAACGCAGCAAGATTGGAAGAAGAAACAACTGAATTTAAAGTAATCAGAGAAGTAATATGTTAGCTGGGGAAGGGAAACGATTTGAATTTTGTAGACTTAACAGGGATAGTCATAAGATGCTGAGCTGCTGAGCTGCCAAGCAAACATAACCATAGACACCATTCTAGCCCCAGATGTGCCGGGACCATCTTGCACCACTGTAAATTACAGAAAAGCTGCTTAACTCTTTTACACCTCAGACACTTTTTCAACGCAGCAAGATTGGAAGAAGAAACAACTGTTAAATCAGTTAAAGTAATCAGAGAAGTAATATGTGAGCTGCGGAAGGGAAACTAAAATCCGAGCTCTGTAAGCAAATCCCCAGCAACTTCAGTGGGTTAAGGATTTCAGTCTACGTGGTTTTGTAGGGCTACAGGTGTGAATAATATGTGGGAGGATAAGTTAATCTTAGAGATGCAAGAGATTAATATAATTGGAAGTAAACAAAAGGGTGCTGTGGATTTATGTTTTGCCGCGCCTACAATAAAAAGCCTTACATGACAGAAAGGTTGCTAAGTGAAGTGGCATCTTCATTCCCTGATGACATGTGAATTTCCTGTAGGACAGGTGAAACTTGAAGTACCACATGATAACTAAAACTGTCATTTTTATTTATTAAGAGACTATTTGCAGCATGAGAGCACAAGCATATGAGGCTTTAGCCTATGACAGGAAAATACAGAATTTATTTTAGTGAAATTTTGTTTGATAACTTTAAAAGAAAAATGTTAGAAAACATTCAGTGAAAGATTTTTTGCTACACATCTATACTTTTGACATGCAAGGGAGAATTAAACTTATTTTGTAGGTCATACATATTTAAGAGGTAGTAGTTCCCTCGGAGCACAGAATCGTCTTTTTCTGGTATGTGGGATTCTTCACTAGGAAAATAAATTTCTGTTTCAGGCAGTAAGGTCAGGGAGAAGTAGCAAAATCATACTTGGAGGACGTAAAACAGAGTTAATAATAGTTACTGTTTTGTGCAGGGTCCTGTGCTTGGAAAGCCTTGCTTCTGCAATGGCTTTTGTATGTTCCATTTAAAAAATAAAACAGAAGTAGCAGGCAGCCCACAGGCCACGCTCTTCACTGAGGGACGGGGCGACTTTCACAAAGACGTGCTTCATCCCTTTAGCCAAGATGAGTTAATGAAGGGAGCGTTGATGAGAGGGAGTAAGGCATGCAGCGTGCGGGGGGCAGGACCGCTAATTGCATACTGCCCTTCCCGACGGCTGAGGACCTGCACCCCAGCGAGGGAGCGACGTTCTGAGTGGTGCTTCGCACGAAGAGCAACGCTAGACCAAGGCACCTGGCTGGCTGATAGCACTGCCGGTGTGTGCCCCTGCTGCTGGGGGTCTTCATAAACTTCTGTACTGCTGGGCACAGTGTGTTACAAGCTGACCACTTCTTCCAGTTTTCCAGGTTTGTTATTAGAGCCTAAAACCAAACAAATAGTCCTTGATGCTTTGCCAGCCTCCAGAGAGGTCAAATTGTCATTTTATTGGAGGACTGTTGTAGCAACTGAGAGGCTTTTTTCCCCCCATGCATATGGGTTGGCCACGTGCAACAGCAGCTGATGCCAGCTAGCAAACTGCAGCCCCCAGCTAGAGCTGAGGGTGCTGAAGGGTTTGCCCTGTGAGCTACATCGAGAGCCGAGGCTTTTTGGCTGCTTTCTCATTTGAATGAGAACAGGACTGGCATCCACCAGGTTTTGCACTCCTGACAGAGGAGAAGCCACCAAATGGCTCCTGTTTATTTCCACTCTCCCTTTGTGTTGGTCTGTGAGAAAAGAAAAGGTGGAAAAAAAAATGTCTTTGCTTCACCAATTTTTATCTCACCTTTTCCCTCAGTGAGATAAGCTCAGGTGGTTTCCCAACGCAGTTCTGTCTAATGCAGCAATCGCAGCATGCCTGTGGAAACAGAAGAAAGTCTACTACTGTCAGATCCTCCACCTTCCTGGGGGACCAGAGGGGAATACCTGAAGATATACAGAAGACTAAAAAGAGGACTAAGGAGCTAAAGCAAAAAGGGAAGCAGAAAGGTTATAAAACTGAGAAGGAAAAAAGAAAATGTGGAATAATGAAAAAATCAGAGTGGTACTGAAGAGAAAAAAACCTGTAAAACTACTGCAGAGGAATAAGGAAAAGCAGGAGTGAGGAAGTATTAATGGTCGAATAAACTGCACAAATATCTTCCTCTTAATGATGACATGCTTTTTTTTCTTTGTGATTCAGATTTAAAGCCAAGATTAGAATGTCTCATTACTTTGAGTCTTAGAAAATATAAAATGAAAATTCATCGTTGTCTCAGCATTATGCGCCTTCAAGTGAAAAGATGTTGCAATTCCTGAGAATAGTAATTAGATTTAATTATAACCTAACTGACCTTCAGTAGTGTTAAAATGTTGGCAGAACTTGTTTGTCTTGGCAAGCCACTCTCTTCTAGAAATGTTTTTGTTCTTGTATTTGGCTTAGAAAGTTCATTGCTATATGGATCTTCACGTATTCTCTACCACCCGTCAAAGGAATAGACAGAGATCTGAAAAGATGTCACAAAAATATGTGGAATTACACAATTGATATCATCTGAAGTAGAAGTAATAGATAATATCATTATCTGGATATTGCTGTGAGTTATCTAAGCCTTGCAATATTATCTATCACATGTTAAAATTTCAAAAATAAGCTGCTGGAGTACATTTCTATCTGTAATGATTTATGGTGTACTAGCAATATGTGTCACCAGAATGATTCCCAAGGCATTGTCTTTTCAGTTTCCTTTATAGATCTTACTTTTCTCATGCCTAATTGAAATTTAGGTGACGTTCAGAGAATGTCAGAAACTGCTTTTTTAAAAGAAAAAATGTTTGTAAGAATAATACAAAGCAAGGGCACGTTACAGAAACACAAAAGTGAGACACAGTGAGAATCTCCCAGCGAGTGGGGAAGTAGTCTGACTCGGCAGAACACAAGGTGGTTTTTGCTGAGCGCAGTGGCAATACCGCTGAAAGCAGTGCACAACCCGGGGCGGTTGTTTATCTGCTGTGTTTGCAGAATGGAAACAGATCCCAGTCCTCGGTCAAACTTTATTACAAACAGTGCCAAGCATGGGAGATTTTAAAGCTGAAACACTGTTCTTCCTTTCAAAGAATATAGAAACCTGAGGGGTGTTGCTGTAAGCACTTGTTTTGATATTTTTATATTTTAAATACATATATTCTATATATATAATATAGATAAATATAATACAAATAAAAATAACATACGAAGTATATCAGGTTTTTACTCCTACCAGAGCAGAGGCCATTAATGCAGAAAGGCATTAATAGGTAACTTAGTGTTCACTCAGTGTTAGCATTTAGGAAGCTTCTGATTTTTTGAAGGAACCAGCAGAAGCTTGTGCTGGACTGTAAAGAGGGCAGCAACATT